TGCAAGAGTCTGCTGCAAACCATAACATCTGAAAACCTGCTGGAAGCTAGTCATAATAAAGAGTCTTACACTTCCTTTGTTAGGAAGAATTAAAACTTTTAACTTTCAAACTTGTCTCTTCATTGAACTGAAACACAGACCCATGGATATTATCGACAGTTTATCGATGAAAACAACCTTTGAGTCTTCTTAAAACTATAAAATTTGGTTATTAATTTATTACAAATTAATATCACACATTAATATGTAGGATGGTTCCTCTTTCATAAAAGAGCATAAACCATAACACTACATAAATTGACAGAGCCTAGCCAGGTTCTCTACACTGGTCATATGGAGGAACAGTGGGTCATCATGAGTTTGCCCTGTAATCAATAACTGACTGTTGGGTAAAGCACTTTGGAGTCCTAGGTCCTGATTGAGTACTGCTGTACACGTACATTTAATATGTGCTTTTTCAGTCTGACCAAACGACCTGTCTGGAGATCAGCTCTACCACGGTGTTGAAAGCAACTCCAACGATTTCTACCATTTTCAGGGATTTTAAAGGTAACAGTAAAAGAAAAATGTGTTCTCTGATTAAAAATAAAATTTGAATAAATTCTATTTAGCACATAGCACCAGTTCAGTACTACAATTAAATTCTTTGTACTGTAAAATGTGTCTGTCTCTAAGTGGTGGAGGGACCAGAGTCTATTTAATCTTCATTTCATGTATACCCAAGTACAGTACAAGGCGAAAGTGGAGGAAAACTCTTTTAATATGAAGACACTTCTAGCAGAACCAGTTCCCAAAGGCTTTTGGGTAAATAATTTGAAGACTGATACCAAAGCAGAAGCATCAGGAAGGTGTGTTCCATTTAGTCTGGAGTCAAACTAACCTGGTGGTGGTAGTGTGATGGTCTGGCGCTGCAGGACCTGGGCCACCTGCTGTGACTGATGGAACCAGTGCCTTGAGATGACTCATGTTTTGATTTGGCGCTATATAAATAAACTTGAATTGAAACTGAATTGAACCATGAGTTCTGCTTTCTAGCAGAAGGAGAATGTCTGATCTCTGAGCTTAAACGAGCCGTTCCTACTAGAAAACTCTCACGTGTCTGAATTCAGGCGATTCGGTAGAGAAAACTGAAACTAAACTCCAAATTTAGGTGACAAAAAAAGTAAAGTCACAACTTAATCTGTAGTAGCGGTAAATACTTTGTTGTTGAAATCCACCTTACAGATCTGTGAGTTATTTAAACCAGAAGATTGGATCTTTTTATTGCAGGGATTAGAAAACCGCTTCATATTCACTCAGAGACAACAGAAGAGAGAGAGTCAAGTTTAAAAAGTTAAGAATTGTGTTACTAACAAATTAAACTAGACTGACTTTAAAACTAAATGTATGGTGTAACTAAAGTGGATGAGACGGTGAATGGATGATGTGTGATGTTAATCAGAACCAGCAAATCCGAAGAAGCGATTAGTTGGGAAATGAAGGTGATGTCGTTGCATTAAGCTTTGGTTAGGAGGTTCATAAACACATGAGACACCATTTGCCGGTCTACCTACCCTTCAGGAAGTCCCCTTTAGATCAGGAATGTCGAGGTCTAGCTTGACCTTCTCTGGAACCGAGCCGGTAGGAAAAGCAGCGGTTCCGATCAGTCCAGTCTGTGAGTTACTTCCGGGTCACGAAAGGTTGTTGGCGTCTGGTGAGACCCAAGCCTGGGTCTTGATGGTTAAGCTTTTATTCTGAAAGGAACTGTTGCCGCTGTTGGTATAGCAACAAAATTTTCAGCTTTCGTTGTTCTTTCGGTTTAAGAGTTTAGATCAGGATCGGCCACTCCGTCACTTTCTCTGGAACACTTTGAACTGGCGTTAGAGCTGACGTGGCATAGTTTTATACTTTGGATGTTTTGGTTTATTGTCGAATGAAAAATGACCAAACACCATCAGAACCACGCATCCGTCAGATCTGTAAGATTCTGATTGGATCAGTGAAAGTAATGTGTCATGTCTTTTAACGCTACGTGAAATCAGTCCTGTTGGAACATTTAAAGTCATAGTACTTATTATATTCTATAGGATTATAATAAAGTAATTAATATTTTGATTTCACAGATCGATCACATCTTATTTATTGACTAAAACTTTGATGGATTAGCTTTATTAAAATAGAGTTCTTTGATTAATTAAAAGAAAAGAGTTCATTCTTCGTTCTTCTGTTGAGCTGAAAATAAGCAGGTTAGAAGGAATGCATGAGACCTTGAGACCATATCTCATGCAGACTAGTTCTGTGTCAGAGGAGGGAAAAAACAGTCATTTTGTTCCGTTACATTGTACAAAATTGTAGGTTAAAAGGTCACTGGCATTCATACCACTACACTTAAACCCAGACCTAACCCTAACCCTACCGCATGTCTGTTAACTAAATGACACAACTGCTGGGATTTTCCGGACAGCTCCGCCTGCGCCGAGCCTCCATCCACGGCTGTCCGTTGTCTGCAGAGGCTTTCCGCCTGGCCCTCTGCCCTCACCGCCTGCTGGAACTAGATGCCTCCTGGGTGTCTGGAGGTCTAACTGGGGCTGATGTCCTCTCAGGCCTGGCCTCCAACCCAGAGTGGAGGTCTAGCCTGCAGAAGTTGTCCCTCAGGGGATTCTATCTGGACCGGGGTTCTCTGAAGAGATGGTGATGTCCACATAAGCTTCAGCTCCTTACAGGGCCTTCGAGCACTCTACGTCATTAACACAGACCTAACTAATGAAGTCCTGGAGGATATTGGTTCCCTCACCCGGAAATTCTGGATATCTCCTCCAGCACCGTCACAAATCTTAACGCACTTCTTAAATGCAAAAGCTCCTTGAGATCTTTAGCTGCCCATGGGCTGTTGCAGCTGGATATGTCTCCTGCCAGGTTGCCGTTTTTCTTTAGTCAGCTTGATGCTCTCAGGCATTTGGACTTCTCAGAAGACCCTTTTGCTGATGACAGTGATGGGAGAGAAGGAGATGAGACTGTGCACTCACTTTTCACTTGTCTGAGCAAAACCTCCCTGAACCATCTGCAGGAGGTCCAGAATGCCTGTGATCGGTTTCTGACCAAATCGTCAAAGTATTCTCACACCACCCCCACACTCCTCCTCCAGGTTCACTGGCTGCCAGTGAACTTCAGGGTTCATTTCAAGATCCTGGTTCTGGTCGTTAGGGCCTCACATGGACAGGCACCATCTTACATTGGTGATCTTCTCAGTGCTTACACCCCCAGCAGAACCCTCCAGAAGGTTCAACAGATAATGCGCTGTACATGCACATTATCTGCTGGTATGTTCCTCTGACTGGTATGATGTCACTGGGGTTAGGTTAAGAGTTAGGGTGCAGAGTAGGATTACAACTAAATCAGTATGGCCTGTCAGACTGGCTTGCCCTGTAATATAGGTATGCCAATCTGACAAGGTGTGGTTCTTCCACAGAACACCAGCAGTAAGTCGGGCTCGGTTCCAGTGAGAGTTGGACTCCACCAACGCTGCACTTTGTCACCGATTTCGTTCAGAACATTTATAGACAGGATTTCTAGGCACAGCCAAGGTGGTGAGGAGATCCATTTTGGTGGCCTGTAGATATGATGATACGGTCCTGTTGGCTTCATCAGAACATGATCACCGGCTCTCACTGATTGGCTCAGGTGGTCGAGTAGAATGCTTTCTCTGGGTCAGTGATGAGTCCTGCCTCAAGTGGAGGAGTTGAAGTATCTCGGGGTCTCGTTCACTAGTGAGGGAAAGCTGGAGGGCAAGATCAATAGGCGGATTGGTGCTGCGTCAGCAGTGATGTGGGCATTGTACCGGTCTGTCGTGGTGAAGAGAGAGCTGAGCCAGAGGGCAAAGCTCTCGATTAACTGGTCGACCTACGTTCCTGCCCTCACCTAATGGTCATGAGCTTTGGGCAGTGACCGAAAGAATAAAATTGTGGAGACAAGCGGCCAAAAATACATTTTCTCCCAAGTTGACTTGGCTCTCCCTTAGGGTGAGAAGCCTGGTCATCAGGGAGGGGCTCAAAGTAGATCTGATGCTCCTCCCCGTTGAGAGGAGCCAGTTGAGGTGGCTCGGGCATCACCTGGTGAGCTTCTCCAGGAACATCTAACCGGGAGAAGACCTAAAGGAAGACCCACACTGAAGGGGCTACGCCTCTTGGCTGGGGCAGAGGCGGTTTTACCATTAGGCATAGGTAGGCGGCCGCCTGGGGCCCCCTTGTGTTGGGGGGCCTCCTAGCCCTGACCACCGGCACCCCTCTGTTAATGCCACAATATTCTTTTTACCAACCTGTCGCCGCACACAGGATTGGACATACTTCTCGTTACCATTATTCCTGAACCGTTCAAGATATCATTAAAATTCTAAAAGTGCTGAAAAGATTAAAAATGGGGCTTTTCGTGCATTTACAATACATTACGGTAGCCACCGGGATTCTCTGTCTTGAGCGCAACGAATCACAACACAGATTCAGAGACGTGCTGAGTTTGTCATCCAAAATGCTCCATTTTATAACTTTTGAATGGCTGATCAGATTCAAATAATTCCAACGGTTCCTAAAAGTACATAAAAGCAGCTTTCCAACGATCTATAGCATGAAGCAATCAGACTGGGGGAGGCTTGACTCCAAGGAAACCTTGTGCATGTGATTGTATCAAGTCATTTGAATGTGGCCTCTAGTCATCTCTTCTCACTCACTCAACGTCCAGCTTCACCTTACAGCTTCCTGCTGGAGGAGGGTCTGACTGCGCTCCTGACAGCTGTAGCTGCTCATCCTGATACACACAGAGACGTTAAAACGGCTATCGGACCTCATCCTGTCCCTGGTGGCGTAACGGAGTCTCTCTGGGGGTTCCGGAGACCACGCACAGCCTGGAGAGTCCTGATCCAAACAGAAGTCATTGTTTAACAGAGCTTTTGATTCCTAGAGCTGTCAATAAATTATTTGTAAAACCAGGTTTGCAGATTGCATCAGTATCACCTGACCCATCGAGGTCAGGGCCCCACTGTGAAGGGCCTTTAGAGGATCTGCAGAAACCAGATCAGCTCTGAAAATAAAGACCGTCAACATGATTAGCATTAAAGATGGAATCTAGTAATTACAATTAGATCCAGCATTATCAAAGGCTCTATGTGAGCTGTGTTTGTTTACTGAACCAGCAGTAGTTAGGGTCACAAGTCTCTGACAAGTCCAGTCGTTTCTCCTGCTACCTGCTCATGCACACAGCTAACACTGCCAGTTTTATTCTGGAGCAGCCTGTGAAGTAAAGTTTGGAGCTATTAGTGCTCATTAGGGTCTGATCGCTCTGAACAACTGCAGACAACATGGGTGAGAGGGACAGAAAAAGAAATGTTTATGTTTATTTGTATTTGGCAGAAGCTTTTATCCAAAGCGACTCACAATTTATAACCTATAGGGCATGTTGTGATCTGTGGGGGAAACCGAAGTACCCGGAGGAAACCCACGCATGCATGGGGAGAACACGCAACTCCACGCAGAAAGGCCGCGGCCGAGTTTTGAACCTACAGCCTTCGTGCTGCGAGGCAACAGTGCTAAGCGCTGCGCCACCATGCATGAGAAATGATTCTCAGAGAAAGCTGCAGGTTCTGGGAGACAAAGAACAAAAAAGTCACTTTAAGCTTCGACAAAAGTGATTCTGAAGACGAAATCAGGATTTATGTTATCGCTGCTGTTGTTTCATACGCAGTACCACAGTCTACCACTAGATGGTGCCTCAGAGCCGCAGTCCTTTGAGCCTTGGAAACATTCTGGTGTTAAAAGTGTGATGACACATGAAGTTACCATGTAGCTGGTGGTCTAATTGAATCTGAGACACTGTGCCTTCATAATGAGCCTCCCTCTTCTCTGGATGCTGGATTCATTATGTTTTATGTAACCCAGCAGGAAGGGCAGCTCCTCTACACAGCCTGCACAAGTTGGTCTATTTATGATTCCTTTGGAAGAGCAGAGGAAGCAGCTGACATGATTTTGTTTTTGTTGCACCATCTTCTTTAACTTTCAAGTTTTGTTTCTGCTTGTCCTTAATTCTTCTGGGGGAATTTAAAGAGGTTCCTCAAACATTTTAAAGCTGCTTGTGACATTTAGTCCCGCAGCAGTAGCTGCAGGGGTGGATTTAGGACTGAAGAAGATCCGGAGCTTAACACACACACACACGTGCGCGCGCACACACACACGTGACACGCACTAGTCAACATCATATATGTCTTGTACCACATAATTTTTAATCTGAAGCTACATATTAAGCATTTTCAGGGCAGAGTATTGTTCCTGTTAGTGTTTAGTGTGAGATGATAGTAAATATTCCCTTTCTTTCTCCAACAACTTTACCTGATAAGCTAACTTTAGGCAAACCAGCAGCACAACAAATATTTTCAAATAAGACCCACAAACCTGAGTCAGCACCAGTCTCATCAAAGCTGGGGTTCTGTCGTTGTACTTTTGGTCTAAAAAACATCCTTATGTCCATCTTCACTCATGCGTTTCAGGCAGAGAGTGTAGAAGAAGCCAGCTGCTGAAGGGCTTCTTCTTCTGTGGTGGAGGCTCAGGCAGGCTGTATACAAACTACTGCCAGCTGCTCCCTCTCTGTTGGACTTTGGTACTGCATGTTACTTCCGCGATTTAGATCCGGGGCTTCAGCCCAAGTAGCCGGGCCTAACGCCGCCCCTGAAACACCACACGCGGGGCCAGAACCAGTGCATAACGGTTAAGTAATGATACGCATGGAAGAACCAGGACTCTTAACATGGGTTTAATAATTTTATTTAATTTTCAATGAACTTTAGAGATTCTAGATAGGTTAGTAACACATGGCACGCTCTGAGTGGCAACGGATCATCTGAGACTGGATCAAAAGCTCCATCATTTGATGATCCTGGTTCAGAATTCTTCCGTGAAACATGTGAATTCCTTTTGTTTGTGTTGAGTGTCAGCTTGCATCGTCCTGCTGTCTGAAGCTTCCTGCTCAGTCTGCAACAGTTTGTGGACGAGTGCTGTGTGGTAAAGATAGACTGGCCTCACCAGATAATTATTCAGAACAAACTGGCCAACACTTTCCATTTCTCTGGTGGATACAAAATCATTGGCTTTCACTATCCCTGGTGGTCAAGCACTGCTGAAAATCTGTTTCAGAGGGCCGACACCAGTGATCCTCATATCTATCTCATGAAGGAATTACGTAATCAGATATCGCTGCGTGCTGAACCCTGTCAGAGGGATGGAAACCGGAAACAACGTGATCTGAGTGGAAAATGACAGGTGCAAAAAAAGAGGACTGATGTCCAGAAATAGAGAAGAAAAGGAGTTAAATACAGGAAGAGAAGAGAGAGCTGCTAAAGATAGCAGGAGAGGGGGAGTCAAAGAAAATGAAAGCCGCTGTCATGTTCCACGACTGATGGTGCAAAAATATCACAGACGCATTTGCAGCTTCGCTCTCAGTCTGAAGTACCGGAGCTGCTCAGAGTAGTTATCTCGCTCATGCAGACTTCTTTACTGGATTAACACCGCTCTGAACTGGTCTGCTCTGGTCTCCCACAATACCCACAGTGGCACACACCTCCTGGCTGTGTGTGTGAGTGTGTGTGTCTGCGTGTGTGTCAGAGGGTCTTGGAACAGGGAGCTAACTAAACACCAGCTAACCTTCTAAGTAGACCAAAGGGAAGAACATTCTAAGAGTAGAGGAAGGCAGAACTGAGCAGGAAAACACACACATGCGCACACACACACACTTCTCCAGGCTCTGTGATGCACAGAAAGGACACACACCATCTCGTCTCAAATGACCTTTTGTTGCCTCTGAGCCTGTGTGCAGAGCTGTGCCAGCAGCCAGACCGTCCTCCTCCTGGGTCTCAGCATCCATCAGCACTCTCTCTGTTTGCTGTTTAGCTGAAAACATGCCGAACATCACAGATGAACGCCAACAAATCAGTCATTCAGAAGAGGATGCCTGTCATCCAGAGCAGCTGTAGAGAGATTGTCCGTGGTTACAGTTCTGCCCTTGTCCATGAATGGTTCCATTAGCCTCATCACTACACTCTCAAGACAGCCTCTCCCCGCTGGGACGACGAGGGTCCTTGCCAAGATATGGGAGGACATTGCAGATGTTGAGGGTCTGCCCTCGTGAGAAAATTACTATGCAGTAATTTCTCCAAAAGACTGTGCCAAAAACACCCTGGAGCGTGAATAAAAGGCATATTAAAAATCAGCGCCAGCAACAACTTCATGTCCCATGATTCCCTGCTACCGGAAGCAACGTGATGATGTCACCCCGGAAAACAAGTTCCACGCATGAGCACACCCTCACAGAGTCCAGCCCGCCGGACAGCCGAGTCTATAAAAGGGAGACAGAACGAAACTTATCTGTCTTTTGTTCCAGTTCAACTGGCGTGAAGACGCACTCGGTTGCTACGGCTCCGGACAGCATGTGCACGAGGTCTAGCTGCTGAAGTGGACGGAACACCGAACTACTGGAAGCAACGGAGAACGCCGATTGAACACTGAGGGACGCCTCGCTGTTCGTTCGTTCAAAGTTTTTTCTCTCTCTCACTTTTTCTTCCGTTCTCTTATAGTTCAGAAGGAGCGTTCGGCCGCGTTGATCGCTTCAAATTAGAAAAACGGTCTTTCTATTTCCCGTACCAAATACGTCATCGAAATCATCTCAAAGTAAGATCTTTCCTTTCATTGTAATATCTAAGTTGTTTTGAGCTGTGGCCACAGCATAAAACAGATCGTTAGATATTTAATTTGCCTTTGAGTGATCTTTTGTTGTGTTTATTGATCTTTGTGAAGTGGTTTTGAAGTTTGGTTTAAGTTACTGTGCATGAAAGTTAAGCCACTGACTGAAAGTTTGAGAAAACTTACACACCTCCCACACACACTGGTTTTCAGTGTGGTGGGGAGAGAAGACAAGTTAAACACACACACACACACACACACACACACACATTCCACAAGTGGTTTGATCCCAGGAGTCAGCCATTTTGGGTTTTCAACTACCTCCATCCTGTTACCCCGCCTATCAGATCATCATTTCACATTATCATTATTATTTCATAATTACTTATTTGTTTGATAAAATAAGTTGGTTGATGTTGATTGGCTAGACACTTTAGAAGGAGCTGAAGTGAATATATTCGTTAATAAAGGTCATTGCCAATTAAGATTTTGTCTCAGATGATTTGTTTGTGTTGATATAAATTAACTGCAGCTCGTTACGATTTCACGGAAAGTTTAGACAAGATTGATAAGAGGTGTGGATTCATTGTTCCCCTGTTAAAGGGGTGGTGCCCCGAGGATATCTCCAGATATCCTAATTACGTAATAAAATTGGTAAATATTTCCATATTTACGAATTTTGTTGAAGAATCCAAAAAGTAAGTGAAGCTTACAAATTATTCGTTGATTAAGAATCACAACACAGATGTACTTTGATTTTAAGTCGCAAGCCACCCAAAACATGTTGCCAAACTTGTCCGGTTTTGTTGCAATGTATTGTAGGAAACAGCAGCGAGTCTTTGATGGGAAAAGCTGTTCATCAATAGTGATGTGTTGACCAGGGTTGTAGGATGCGATGCAGTTGGTGACAAACGATCCTCACACATCGGAGATTGCAGCAAACTTATTGGTCTCCGCTCGCTCACTGCATGTGAACATGTCATCAAAGCGTAAGTGTTGCATGATGTCTTGGAAGCGGTATCGGGCCATAGTTTCAATGATCCTTGGGTTTGCCAGGTTTGCTGACCAGCTGTCAAGTAGTGAAGGAACCTTGGTCACCCCCTGCAAGATAATGACTGCAATAAGTGCCATTAGTTCAGGGAGATCCAAGAACCAATCCACCTGCTCCGTGTGACGTGCATGCGGAGTAGTCCATTCTTGAATGGTTCGAAACATGTTCAGAGTGACAAAACGGAGGAAGCTCTGAAGGCAACTCCGGGTACATCGTTTGGCCTTAGCCGTTTGCTCTCCAGCTGTGGCGTAAGGTTCTATTGGAGTGATATGGAGACATGTCCCCACTTGTTTTTCACACCACACAGTGCCATCTTTTGAGGTCTCTGTCAGCTAACTCCCCAACCGAGCTCTCTTTTTTTGGTAGAGGAGTCTCCTCATCTGCAAGATAAACAATTTTAAATTAATTTTCGTTTGGTTCTGAATAAAGAGATAGGCAGGAAATGAAAATAGGTAGTTTGAGAAATCTAACCTGAAGACAGCTCAGAGTCCGTATCTGGTTGAAGGACTATGTCTTCTCCATCTGAGTCACAAGGGTTGGCCTTGCTCACGATCAGTTCCCATCTGCGCTGGCCCCCAGTGAAGGATTTAAAAACATCTTACTGGTCAGAATCCTCAGAGAATGCAATATTTCCAAATAACACACTGAAAAAGTGCATCAAATTTCATTCCATTTTTATTGCTCAGAAAAAGCAGCTAATCACAAACGATGAGCAGGCTAACGTTTTAGCTGGTATAAAAAACGCCTGGGGTGGAGCTAAATATTAAGCCCCGCCCCTTATTTACCTGCCAAACTTTTCACCATGCTCTCATTTAGCCTTTGGACTGTTGGAGAGATTTAAAACTAGCATCTCTGTCGTCTTCCACGCTGTGACGTTCCAGGTAGACGCTGCAATGTAATCACATTTGTAATCAGAGTCTGTGGATGTGCAGCTTAAAGCCCCGCCCACTCTGCAGCACACAATCACACTGTTATTTCGGCATCCAATTACAGCTGAAGAAGAAGGAACATTTGAAGATACAGGCAACCACTACGGAAATCAGCTAAATCGATCGCCTTGAATAGAATCTGAGGTGAGTTTTTAGCCATCTGTGTCTTATATGACTACATGTAGGGGGCGGGGTTAAAACTTGTACTGGAAACAGCCTCTTGAGGGGGAGGTCTTGTCTTATTTTGTTTTTAAAGAACAAGTCACCACCCTGACAAGTTTTACTCCACCCACACTTCCTGTTTGAAAAACGCACTAAGAAGAGAGGTCGCCTGGGGAGGGCGGCGCTGAGGCAGGGACTGACCGTAACACCCCCACCCCGCTCTAGGCTCTCAGCTGTATCACTCAGTTTTAGGCAGAATGTCATAAGATGCACTAAAAAGCCAAAATAATGACTACATATGTCTACAGCTCAGTTATACAGTTTATCAGCAAAAAAGTGGATTGGGGGGTGACTTGCTCTTTAACTGCGGGGTTGCATTTGACTATTTAATTTCTGTTTCTTGTACCTCGAAGAAAATCCGTCAAATCTGAGCAAAGTGAGGGGTCAATGAAGGGGTGTGGCTTATTTAAATAGACAGGTGATCAAACACAGAGGAAGGTAACTTGGGAGATTTTCAAAAACCAGGTGAGTTTAGAGAAGATACGTCTGCAATTGTTTTGTTTGTTTGTTCTACTCCTAAAACCAAACTGTGACCATTAGTTGAGCCCAGTGGATGGGTTCATATGGCTAACATGGGCTGCATTACTGGCTAACAGAACCAGTTCTCACTCAAACACAACGCTATGTTTGATCCAGTATGGGGTCTCCATCATGACGTCTATCATGTTTCACATCACCCAGAATCCCGCTGCAAATGCAAAAGAACACATTCCTTATTTTTAGATGAATCCCATTTTCTCGGAGACAGCCAAGCCTGTTGAACAGAGTTCACCTCATCATCAGACTTCATGTGGACGTTGACAGGAGGCACTGTGGGATCAGGTCATTTTAAACAGTGAAGGAAGTTTGTAAACTCCTGTTATTACGGTCTTTTCTGCCTCTTGACATGTGACCTGTCTCATCACCTTCATCCTCGTTTTCCAAATTTATCTGGTCATCTTTCTTCTTGATGTAGCGCTCGTAGAGAACCATGACCACGCCCATCAGCCAGGCTGACACAGTACCGGCAGCGAAGATGACAAAGCCAATGAACACAAAGAAAAGGTAGTCCCAGGAGCCCAGAGTCTGGTGACACAACGTCCGTAGCTGGATGCCCACCTCACCCAGACGACGGCCTTGCATGTCAGCGGGTGAGTCACAGACCGTCTGGCCCTCATCTGTCACACAAACACACACCAACAACAGACGATTAGTCAGAGAACAATGCAATCATCAGCACTGGTGAATGTTTTCTTTCCCCTTAAGTTTCAGCTCTGCTGCTTGCCTTTATTTTCTGAATGGTTCTTCTACCTAAAGCCCGGGTCACATTTGCGGCCGCCTTTCTCTCATCGGGAGCATAATCGTGTAAAAAAACGGTGAACGTGAGGGTGATTTGCTGATCTGTGTTCGTCAAGTCTGACCGGTGTCGGTACAGGATCTTCTCGGGTGCAGGATGGGCTCGGGGTCCTTCGACTGCCGATGGCGTCAAAATAGTTGATTGGCTGAACATGAAGCTTACGGAAGTGTAGCGTCATGAATGGCCTCATATTTGTGACCCAAAGGTCACACTTTCCCAGCTGGGTCGCGCTGGGTCAAGCCGTGACTTTTGCTCCACAGATTACCCATCAGGAGCCGTGAAGTCTGCAAAACACCATCTTCATCTGCTGCTGTTCCGTCCCAAGATGAAGGACACTTCAAGATTTTAAAATAATAATTTAATAAACTGTTTTTACTGTTTATTACAATCATATAATAATCATCATAAATAATCATCTTGGTTAAGTATAAATGTATTTAATTACTGAAATGACATTAAGCTTTGGGTTAATAATAATTACTATTCATGATCATGGACGTAATTTTGGGGAGGGGACAGGGGGGACATGTCCCCCCCACTTTTTCCAAAGTCATGTTTTGACCCCTGCACTTTTTACCATCCAAAAACAATATTACGCTATATTAAATTGACACTAGTTGAGCTCTAGGACCAAGCAGAAAACAACCGTTAGTGTTGAAGCCTGTTTCCTATTAGAGCATACTGTAAAGATACCCCCCACCCCGTGTCCCCCCCCACTTCCAAAGTGAAAATTACGTCCATGTTCATGATAATCAGTAATGTGTGATCATCAACCAGAAGGTCATCGGTACGTGTGCACATCATGCAGAGGGCTGATCCAGGGTAAAGTTAAACCACCTCACATGTCTTTACTCCATAACACCGAGCTTTCTGACGCTGAGAGGGCGTGTTCTGAGGTTTTGTTAAAACCAAATCTCCGCAGCTGAAGTTCAGTTCTTGAACCCACCAGAGGATGAGGGTCGGCCGCCCCGGCCTCACTAAGCATTCTGTCACGCCGATAGAATTGCTCCGAATAGACACACCTGTAACCAGCTGACGCAAAAACTCCTTCAGAGTTATTGATTTTGAGACGCAAATAGTTTCATCAGTCGTGTGACCCACGGAGACATCTCAGGACCGATTTGAGACGCACCGAGGTCTCTCTACCAACCTCGTGCCCAGAGGAAACGATCTCCCTGACAACTCGGATCCACGGAGGGTCTCCTGAACTGGGTGAGGTAGACATTGTCCGACAGATGGCGTCTGTATGCTGTTCTCTAAGAAACATCAGTTAGCTGCAAAACAACATTTCCACCCAGAACGCTTTCTCTCTCTGAAAGAAAATCCCATGCAATTTGAATTGAACACCGCTAAGCATTAGCCAATAGCGTAGGCCATCTGGTTACGTACAGATGTCAGTCACAGAGGATGTGCACGTTTGTGGATGTACCTAGACAGATGCACAGTTGGCAACATTTCTCTTTGACAAATCTGCACCCCCGCTCTCAGCTCTAATTTTGTATTTTCTGGGAGTAACGAGATGGCGGTGCAGAGAACCACCCACTGGGCTTATATTCAGCTATCAGAAACCTACAGGCCACGGCTTGGAAGGTCCATCCATTCTATAAACAGTCAACGGCGTTGGCGAATGAGATGCTTTGTTTCCAGCCCTAATCATGATGTAGGGAGAGGGGCTTAAAGGTGCAATCAATTATGTCTGCCTCTAGAGGGTGCTCTCTGACAACAACTCTATATTTCCGCCTTGAGCTACTTCATGGGCCTCTTTCTAAGGCCTTTTGGTATTTTAAAGGGACATTATGGAAGTTTGACAGCCAAAACATGTATAGAAATAATAAATGTCTTCTTCAGACATTCTCCTGCAATGCCCTGGTCCTGTAGAATGAGCCCTGGCATTTTTACTGTGATTGCCTGTTTTTCTGTAAAATCACAGAAAAAGAGAGATGCTCGGGTCGAGCAGGCTGCTTCATGCGCGTTCACGCTCAGGCATAGCCCGTAGCATTTGCTATCCGTAGCTTTAGCAGCAGAGAGAGAGGCAGTGCCACTTTGTCGCTGTTCCTAACGCCTAGTGACAAAGCTAGCTACATTTCTGAGGACCCTTAGCTACTTTCTGTAGAACTTTCTTCTAGATATTTCCTGCAAATTAGCAACAAAATAGCCATTTTCACTCCGAACCGTTCTTTGAACGTTGTTTCAGCTGTCATCAAGGATATAAATATTACAGATACAAAAGGCATCACTGGCGCTTTAGCTCACCTAATAAAATGCCGGACTCTCATGCTGAGGACCTGGGTTTGATTCTGGATGTGAACATAGTTTAGAGTATATTTTTTACATTAATGGTATATTTTTTTACAGTAAGATGCCCAAATTTTTATTTGAGACTCGCCGAACGGCATTGAATTCACAGATAAAAAAGATGTGGGTTCAACTTTCATTTTGGAACAATTTTTCAAGCAAGGGAAGGGAATGATCTGAGCATGCAGGAGGACTGACCCATCTTAAACCTTTGTCGGCTGTGCTGAAGAGAAAGGTACAGAACCAAATTATTTAATTAATTAGCTGCGCGTTCTCCTTTCCTTTGTCCTCCGGGGCACACACACACACACACACACACACACACACACACACACACACACACACACACACACACACACACACACACACACACACACACACACACACAGGACTGTCTCAGCTGTTTTTTTCGTTAAGGAGTGTGCACGTACAGCATGCGCGCCTCGTGCACAAGCCTACTCTTGAAGCTGCCGTTACGCTTTTGGCCTGAGGGGGCAATCGCGAGCATAAAAAGTCTAAATTCCTTAAAGTCCCTTTAAAGTCTGAACCTGCAGTCTAACTCTGTCCTTTTAAGATTTTTAATCTTCAGAGTCCTTTCAGCTCAGGCTAGACGGAGGCAACTTTAGGCTGCAGTGACTTTCATGACTCTCTGGAGATGCTATGCTGCGTTCAGAGTTGATATTAATGAAGTGACGCTTGGCTTCTTTACTGGGTGCCACTGGGAACTGTGGCTTAAACATTTAATCTTTGTTTCACCAAATCATTTAATTAATTTCCTCTCATGTCTCAGAGCAATTCAGGTGTTGAGTCCCAGCGGGTCGGGCTTGGTTGGTAAAGAGCTTCCAAAGTACTCGGTATCATTCCCTAATCTTTAAAACAGAAACCTTGAATAAGTCTGCAGACACGTTTTACCCACAGCAGACATTAACTAGCACATGAGTTAAAAACACACATTTGAGCCCTAAAACGCCAACGCACTAAAGTTTGAAAGGCAGAAATCTGCATGCTTATAACAGTGTTATACAATACCAGGAAGCTTTGAGGGGTTCCTGTGTTCTACCGGTCTGAGCCAATTCAGCATTAAGTCACAGAAAAGATGAGCATTTCAGACTCCTTTTTCCCCACACAGGATTAGAGTGGCTCGCATAGATAGCAATGTTTCTCATCGTTACACAGAAATCCACAAATCCAAACTAAGTGCTGAGTCTCCACTCTGCTAGAAGACTGACTTGATGAACAAGAAATTCAAAAGACTCGTCAGTCAGACTAAATGTTAAGCAGCTGAAAGCCTTTTTGCCAAAAACTAATCTTTCTTCACTGTGAGAACAAACTCAAAAGGAAGTTGGCTTTCTCCAAACAGTTTCTTATTGTCATCTGGTTTCTTCATAGCTTTTGAGCCGGGGTGGTGGTATTCCCCACGGGAACATCAGCGCTTCTACAGAGGGAACAATTTATTACGTGGTCTCAGTTTGCAGCCATTCTGTGCTTTGAAAGATTTCTTTGTGTTTAAATGGAGGCAGAAAAATGTGGAATCTGTATGAGTATGTGCATTTTTGACGCTGTGCATGCATCTGCTGTCTTATGTTCCTTCTTACCTCGTGTCTGAGGACTGCAGAGGCCGGATCTCTCTGCACTCAGGAAGCTTCATTCCTTCATTTGGGAAGGATTCCTTTTTTTTGGGTCTAAAATTTTGCTTCTAACATTTAGACACTTTCTGTTTGCTTGAAAAAACCTTCAGTTTCTCCTCAAATAAATCAGACACCAGTCACAATATTGATTACTTTTGACTCAGCTGGAAGAAATCACATAAAACTTTGGACCACACAGAGACTCACTTGGAGTTGGACTTGAGTCTGAATTTTAGTTAAGATACGAACAAAACACATGATTGTTCTTGTGCCTTTGCAGATGATGGGTTTGACCATGGCATCCAGTTGGGGCCTCCAACAGTTTCTTGAATGGTTTGCAGCCAAGTGAAGCAACTGGGATGAAGTTCAGCCATGGACATAATTTTTTGGGGGGGGGCAGGGGGGACATGCCCCCCCCCCCCACCCACCCCACACACGCACACACTTTTTCCCTAAGTCATGTTTTGACCCCTGCACTTTTTACCATCCAAAAACAATATTACGCTATATTAAATTGACACTAGTTGAGCTCTAGGACCAAGCAGAAAACAACCGTTTGTGTTGAAGCCTGTTTCCAAATAGAGCGTACTGTAAAGATGCACCCCCCACCCCCCGTGTCCCCCCCCCCCCCCCCACACACACACACACACACACACACTTCTAAAGTGAAAGTTACATCCATGAGTTCAGCACCTCAAACACTGAGGGTTTCCTCTTTCATCAAACCGGTGCGGTCCGGTTTCCGTACGACTTCTAGACGGACTGCCATTCCCACTGACTGAAGTTCGTGTGCTGAACATTTCCAGATATCTGCTCCCACAAAAGCACCACGTTATTAGATACAGTGCTGCCCATAATTATTCATGCCCCTGGCAAATTTCAACTTAGTTACATTTTT